TAATAAGAGTCATAAATTTCAAATCAGCTGAGCTAATAGCCGATAATTATTTAATGGTCACCACTCTTAATGATAACATTATGGATGCGCTTTGTAGAGAGTTGAAGCCATTAAAAGAGGAAATTTCAGAAATTGTGGCTTCCCTGGGTTTCTTAAACGGACAGTATGAGGATCTCATTAAGGAGAATAGGGTCGTGAAGCAGGAATTATCTGAGTTGAAACAGAAAGTGGAACTCCTATCATCGACTCACGATAATCGAATAAAGCTTCTCGAAAATACAGTTGAGGAGCAGTCACGACAACTCATCGGGAACATGCTCGAAATTCGAAATGTCCCGTGGTCACCAAAGGAGACAAGTACAGACTTAACAAAGACTACACTTGGTGTTCTTCAAGTTGTAGCTCCTCAGTTGACCTCAAGCGACCTCCTAGAAGTTCGACGCATACCCTCGAAAACGGAAAAAAAGACTATATTAGTTTCTGTTACCACCAATGTCGTGAAGCGAAGCATCATTCTAGCCACGAGAGATCTCTACGCGAAAAAACATGGACACCGTTTAAACTCCTCAATTGTAGCTCCACATAGCCCACGCGAGAACATCTACATAGACGAGCATCTAACTGCAAAAGGTAAACGTCTTTATTTTCTTGCCCGCCAACTAAAGAAAAAGGGTCTCTATAGATTCTGTTGGACTGCAAATGGTAAGGTTCTACTCCGTGAAAAAGAGGGTACAAATGCGATTCATATCATGGAAGAAGCACAGTTAACTGATCTCACGAACAAAAAAGAGTTAAATAATGGCTCAGATTGACTATTCTTGGAGACTGTCTATCTTATTGTATCTTATTTTAGTTATATTTATTCATCGTTGAAAACGATAAAAGGCACTCTTGCACTACATTTTGTATACAAAACCATACATACCTTATTTCAATCTTACAAATATGAAAGCTCACTAATGTATCACACTCACACAATCACTCGAACCACACTCATTTCACGCATAAATATTCTTGTTCACATACATTACCATGATCCTGCTTCTGTGGCGACTTGTTACAATCAGCCATACTCTGCCATTTACCCCCTGCTCGTTTCAATCATATACATAAAGCTTCATTTTAAAATTCGCGGCACAAAACGAGTTAATTAATGAAATCGACACCACATCTGTTTCTGTACCATACAACTGTGACCCTGAACATTGTAGTACTCTGATTCCCTCCTCTAGCAAACACCTCAACGTTATCACACAGAATATTCGCAGCCTTTCAGCTAATATATCGCATTTTCAGGCACTCCTTCAGACCATTGGAATTTCTTGTGACGTCATTGTCCTAACAGAATGCTGGCTGCAACACAACCCCATTCTAGTACCGTTAACAAATTATAATTGTTTTGCCTCCACCAGCCCCATAAACCAAAACGATGGGGTTGTGGTGTACGTAAGCGGCTGCTTAACGGCAGTGACAGTAAGTGAACCCAAGTTAGGCGAAGCCAGTTGCCTCCTGATAGAAATTGGTTCTGATATCGCTATACTGGCTATTTACCGCCCCCCCTCCTTTAGTCATTTAGTCCCATTCATAGATACTCTAAATGATGTGCTTTCCCTGCTACCATCCAATAAAACCTTAATTCTAACAGGCGACATTAATATAGATATTACTGACAACAATAGAGATCCTAACTCAGATACCTACTTAAATTTGTTAGCTACTCACGGTCTTCTACCAGCACACAATCTTCCCACCCATGGTGCCACTTGCCTAGATCACATGTTCATTAAATCCAAATATTCCTCAACAACATTGGTAATTAATTCGACTGTCACGGACCACAACTCTGTCCTAGTGTCGTTAGAGAAGCGGATATCGGGAACTACAACAAAAAGACTGACAAAAATTAATTATTTGCAGCTTGGTAGGGATTTGGATCAATGTGATTTTTCATCTGTTTACAATGCTCCGGATGTCGACTCGGCTGCACATATCCTAACCAACCTCTTACAACAGGCGGTCCTCTTTAATTCAATCCCATTAACTATACCCCATCGCCTCAGACCCATAAAACCCTGGATCACCCCAGGTCTCCTACGATGCATAAGAAACAGGGACAAAATGCATAAAAACCTAAAAAATAGTCCTGATAACTTAACTCTCATGACAACCTACAAGCGCTACAGAAACTTCTGCAATAACTTGCTAAAGAGAATAAAAAGATCTTATGAAGAAACTAAACTCAAAGAAGCTGGATCCGACAGTAAAAAGCTCTGGTCGGCCATAAAAGAAATAACCAATTTGAATGCAAGTAAATGCGTCGCCCGTGATCTCCTGCTAACCAAACCCACACCTCTGGAATCTGTTAACCACGTGAATGAGTTTTTTGGTTCTGTCGGGAGGACTTTGGCAGAGAACATGAGCACTTGTCAAGGATTTCACGCTTCTCCTCCTCCGCCGAACCCACATTCATTTGTTCTTCTACCCACCGATGAACAGGAGGTGCTTCGTGTAATTATGTCGCTAAAAAAGGACTGTGCGGTGGGATGGGACGGTATATCTACAAAACTAATTAAAGCCTACAGTTACCTAATTGCTCCTCCCTTAACTCATATATGTAACATGTCGTTCTCCACAGGTGTGTTTCCTAAATCTTTTAAAATAGGCCTTATTCACCCGATATACAAATCAGGAGATCATAAAGAGGTTAACAACTACCGCCCTATATCAGTACTACCCGCCCTATCCAAGGTACTCGAAAGATTACTCAACAACCGACTGACTAATTATCTAGAAAGCAAAGACCTGTTAAGTGATAACCAGTACGGTTTCCGGGTGGGAAGATCCACTGCTCAAGCAGTACTTAACTTTACCAACTCGATTGTCCAAGACCTTGACAATAGAAAGAAAAGTTTGGCAATTTTCCTTGATCTAAAAAAGGCCTTCGACACTGTATCACATCCAATTTTACTGACTAAATTAGAATCACTTGGCATACGCGGTGCTCAACTTTCTCTGTTTCAAAGTTACCTCACCGGCAGAACCCAACGAGTTATCATAGATCATAACATAAGTGATGACCTCTGCATCAGCTACGGAGTTCCCCAGGGAAGCATAGTGGGACCTACCCTATTTCTCGTCTACGTTAACGACCTGTGCAATTTGCCTATTCCTGGAGGTCACCTAACTGCTTTTGCAGACGACACGGGTCTGTACTTTTCTGGAGATACATGGGATGAGGTATTCTCTACCGCACAGTTTGGGTTAGATAGGGTCATGAAATGGTTAAACTGTAATATGCTCACCCTCAATACATCAAAAACAAAATATATAACATTTTCAATAATTAACCGTAACCTTCCAATTCCTACCAAACACGTAATCACTGCTCACTCTCCCAAATGCTCCAACGTCCCCTGTTTTTGCCCCCAACTTGAGAAAACGGATAAAGTTAAGTACCTGGGAATTGAGTTAGACAGTAATTTATCTTTTAAAGCTTATATTAGTCTACTTGCAAATAGAGTACGCAAATTAATCTTCGTCTTCAAACACCTTCGACACGTCGCTGACCCATCCATCCTCAAAATGGTCTATCTTGCTCTATGCCAATCAGTACTGACCTATTGTATCACCACTTGGGGTGGTGCTGTGAAAACACACTTTATTGTTCTGGAGCGAGCTCAGCGAGCTTTACTTAAAGTATGCACTTTTAATCATAGACTCTTCCCCACACATTCCCTCTACCAACATTGCGAAGTCCTTACAGTACGCCAGTTGTACATTGTATGTACTGTTCTCCTACAACACTCTAAAACCCCATACTCTACTGATAACATACGAAGAAACCACTTGGTCGCAGAATCCCGCCATTATCACACCAGCTTCAGCCATAGATTCTTCTGTTTCCTTGGGCCTTTCCTTTACAACTCCATCCACCGGAAACTAAATATTCATTCTCTTCCCAAAACCAGATGTAAGAGCATAGTATCAACTTGGCTGCAAAACCTTAACTACGAAGAAACAGAAGCTCTCCTTCAACAGGTTGCGTGAACCGCTGTTTTCCACACATCTATTAAAATAAAACAACCACTAACCAACCCCAACATTCGTTCCGCATACTCACACACGCTTACACACACCACACACACACATACACCACTCACACACACTCACAAACTATTATGCACATTCACATAGTGCTCAAATGATCACACATATACAGGCATTATGTCGTTGCCAATGTATTAGTATCGTATTAAATTTTATTATTATATACATTTAACTCCTGTATTTTATACATTTAACTCCTGGAATTTGTTATTAAAATTTGTATCTTGTACCCTGGCACTCTATTGTATAGTACCATAAATTCAAGCACATAAGTACTGTTAGTAGCCTCTAGATGTACATATTCGGTCTTTTTGTACCTACCTACTGTAGCTGCTGGCTAAAGCTCAGAGTATTCTATTTTAGTCAGCGGCTGTACGTTATAAGCACCAGCCTTTCCCCAAGAAACATGTAATACTTGGTACTTACTTTAATATAAGTCTAACCTGTACCTAATGTAAGGCTTATGGAACAATAAATGATTATTATTATTATTATTATTATTATAATCGGGTATTTTTTATAATAATCAATTAAATTAAAATATCTCGAAAACGGTTAGGTTTAGGATGGGGTGTTTCAGAGACAAATCAGTCAGAAATGATGTAAACTACACGCCCTTAACGGGAATAGGTCGACTTAACCAGTAACCCTGTATACTATAATGTACTAAGAAGAGGGATTACAATATTATTTAACACAAAAGCACCCACAAACCTGGAAATTTGTTTTATATGTGTCTTATTTGGTTAACAAAAGAAACAAACTACATTTAATCTGTTACTGAAAAAAGGAACAAAGTTCACAAGGTGATCGATAACCAGCTCTATGCGAGTTTTCACAGACAGAGTTTAAGAAATTTCCAACCTTTTAATTTGGATTTAAGGTTTGAATATAATATTTTTAGTTATAAATATCCTGTACAATCAAAAGGATGCAAGCGGAACATAGCAGCTTTATATGAATTTATAAGTTTTTAAAACATGTGAATGCAAAGTAATGTCCAAGACACTGGAGTTAGTTGAACGCATAATATGCATTGACGGCAGTGAATGCGTTAAGAAATGAATAAATAGTAAAGACACTAAAACTACATTTAATTTTTTGGTGGAATGATCATTGGACCTAATACTATTATTTGGATTACCTAAATGTTATTAAACAATGAATGATTTTGTTGATTGTATTTTGTTTTGTTTGCAGGAAATAAACAGCAGCGAGGATAGTTCTGCGTATAGAATGAAACGGGTCGTAAATGATGCACGTGCACGCCGCGTGCGGATCGCGTTAGGTTAATAAATGTTTGATTATGTTGTAATGTATTCGTAACCCGATGTCCGTCTGTAATTGATGTTCAAATCAGGTCTGATTGTTTGTATGTACGATATGTAGTTTATTTCCAATTCCAGCGATAATTGTAATGTAATTTAAATTAGACATAGCAACAAATAAATATAAGATTTTACAATTGGCATATCTCATTTATTCCTGAGTCGTTAAAGTTACGAGGAACTACATTATTCGACTAAACTGCAAATAAATGAATGGTATCACCATAAATATTATATGGTCGTCGCCATAACAATATATCTGTGTATTGATTGACTTAATCTCTCTAGTCTCACATAATTAATTGTACAATTATTTACAAACATAAAATACTATCTACAAACGTGTAGAATATTTCAGTTTACGAAATCTTTGTCTGAATCTTGGGCAGCGACGACTGGTCCTCGTGGCAATACTGCTATTCTCTTATCAGTCACTTTGGCGACATCCTGCATTGTTACGTCCTGCTCCTGACTGCTAGGTGAACTCCAGTACTTCTTATTGACTAGCATTAGTAACATTAGTGCTGGCAAGTGTATTAAGGAGAATCTAAATAACTTTCTTGAACTTCCGCTGTCCGATTTCTTGTAAAATTGCCATGCTGTAAAAAGGAACATTTATTTGACGTTAGCATTAAATATCAGATACGCAACAAAAACATTAAATTAAAAAATATATTAAATATCAGATGAAGAAGAATGTATTATTGTACATAACATACAGAACTTGCAATGTACAACTCTTAAGGCAGTACAAATCAATTATGCACAAAAAAATCGCAAACTGTTTTTGCTGATTTTTGTGGTCATGGCGCACAATTTTTTTTTAATTTCGTGATTTTTCAAATTTGCACTAAGGCTAAGTTTGCTGAGAGGCGGCGATATGCAATCCCTAATCTTTCGAATAATCCATAATCAGAAGGAAATAGCGTAAAGTACTCGTAAATTACGTGACATTTGTTATTATCCATTGCGTAAAATATATACAAAATGTCATATTGTTTTTGTACCGCCATGGAAGTTGTACATGTACGATTTGCCACATAAAATTGTAAGTATTTTACGCAGTCGCTAGCGGCACCTATAAGTACAGGCACTGGAATGTAGAATGTCATATACTTGGTTCATGTTATAACGAGACTAAGGGTGCCTTCAAATTAGACGCATATAGTAGCGCTGAAGCCACGCGTCTGTAACGCTTCAGTAATTTTTAGTTCGCTAATAATTGTGTCTGCAAAAGAGTCGCGCGCGTGTCTCGACCGTGGTGCTGCAACTGCATCTCTAAATATTGCATGAAAATTTGTAGTGGCGCGACTGCATCGCCACGGTAGCGCTACTACAGAGCTTCTATAAGCGCCTTAACGCGATTTGCTACTTACCTAAGTACATAAAATAAATATTTAAAGGCAGCGACTCGATTGCGAACCACATGTTGGTAACCCCGAGGTACGGTGATGCAGCGCACGTGGCCGTGATTATACCCGTATGACGTAACGCTACTCTTCTGCATAAAGCTAGAAATACAAAGAACATTAGATCATGTCATAACGTATAACATAAAAATTAGCAAGCTTCTTTTTGATTCTGAAGTGGGGGTGCTATTATTATGATACAAATTTGCGTGTTCTTAGAAAAAAAATATTATTTTGTCAAGTGAGCTGGACATATCGCGTACGGTAGAATTTGTATGGGAAACTGCTTCGTCTGGTGTTTAAATTGTTTGAAGCACAGTCATGACTGGGTGCCACTTATCGGCACGCTTATAATATTATTCACGCACGACACGCCTATTTGACGGCCTCTGTGGTCGAGTGGCTTGCACACCGGTTTTCATAGTGTCGCCATCTCTGAGATCCGGGTCAATGTAGAAAACTAACTTTTCTATATTGTTTCGGGTCTGGGTGTGCAAGTGCTTTAGCTACTTACTTCGAAATCAGAGCAACGTATGTGATGTTGTCTAATATAAAAAAAAGGGTTTAGGCATGTCTACAAGTAAAATGTCTAATTATTCCATTATCGTCAATGTAAAATATTATTGTTTGATTTGAAATTATAGTTGTGTGTCCTATTTACCAGGGTCAGTGACCGCCATCATCCTATAACCGGCACGCGAATAATCCGGCCTGAGGTTCCACGACAATGCGTTGAAGTGTGGAAATTGCCAAGAGTAGAGGATCATGCCGAGGACCAGCGCGCCTGCGTCAAGTGAGCCTGTGCAACCAGCCCAGCCCATTAGGGGAGGGATAGCACCAACTGCAAACGAAAACAGATGTTAACATTTGTGAATGCAAAGCTAAGTTCGTCTGGGAATGGTTGAATTCTACAAAAAGATATTCATACATTTTTTGTGAAAATCGACGAATCTCTATGTGCTTACTGTAGATATTTCGCTCATTTGGTGCTTGTATTGGGTCGAAACGGCTTTTTTTGTGTTTGTTCGATATTTATAATAATAATAATAATATACTAGTGGAGTGTCTTCACAAAAATATTGATTTTTATAATTTCAATTGACGGGACAAATAAGTCGTGCGCCTGATAGTAAACTACACGCCTGTCCATAACAGTTGCAGTGCCACACGGAGCTTTCAATCGCAAAGATAGGGTGACAGGCGCAGTGGCAGTGCCCCTCAGATAAGTTGACAAGACACATGTGCCTGTAATTTCACCAGCACCCTTACCCTTCAAAACCGGAATAGTAATGCTGACATTACTGCTTGGCGGCAGAAATAGGTAAGGTGGCTGTACTTTCCTGGACGAACTCTTTTACAAGGAGCTCTACTGCTACAATGAATATCATAATAGTAAAACATCATTATATTCAATAAAATAAATTGTACACAGTGACAAAAAACATTTTTTTTACACATGTCTAAAATCTGTATAATAGGTTATCTCTGTATGTCAATAACAATGTGCCTCCTCATCGTTACATGTTTAGCACTGACAAAAAATTACGTACGTAGAGTCACAGCCTTCAGTAACAAATTATAAATTACAATTTATCCTGCAATGAACGTCCAAGACCTATACAAACGACGTAAAGTACAATTTTCCATGAAACTTTTCGATAGTTTGCATTGACCTACCAACAAATGGACATCGGGTCTAATACAAAAACCACTAAAAAAATGTAATCTAACGAAATATAAAAAACTAAAACATTTAATTTAAGCTGTAACGTCATGGCAGTACTGCCTAATTTTGCTTGCAACCATTTAAGGGCCCAAAAACACCATATTTAGCTTCGATTGAAAAATACTTGAACATAAGAGTAATGGAGTAGCCTTTCTCGTAATTATTAATTAATTTTTATATATATTATTATGTCGAATTTCGTACAAATTCACTTAAAGATATAATAAAATGATGATGTAGAGTTGGGCAAATATGAAAATAAGCTTGTACTATAAGAAATGTACCGATATTACAACTAAACGTAAACTCAAATATCCGTAATTCCGAAAATCGATTTATATTATAATAAAACGGTTACGCTGTCAAGTAATTTCGATGCAATGCATGCTTTTGTTTTGTAATATTCCTAAAAAACATTTGACATTATGAAAATTCGAGCTAACGTTATTTTGGGCAAATGTATTTTTTGACTTCTGACAGGTAATCCCAAGCAGTAAAACGAGTACAACAATATTTTGTTAGTTATTGCTAACGTTTAATAAAAAGTCATTTTAAAAATAAGATTAAAATCAACACGACTCTATAGTTTCTTTTCTTTCTTGTTCCAAATATTTCAATCGCTTATAGTTCGAACAATTGAAAATGACCAAGAAGATTATATAAGCTTCTTGAAATTAACGTAATGGGTCTCTTTCCATCTTTTGTGCATGCAATGTGCAGAAAAAGGACAGTTAGCTGTTTGATTATTTTGTTTGCTTTTGTAATTTATACATAAATTAAATACTATAAAACTGTACAAAATAACACTTTTAAATGAAAACTATGATAACTTAATATATTTGTTTAGTGAAAATATGATACAAAATCCTGTTTTTACACTTTACTGCAGTAATTTTTACAAGTTATTATTTTATAGTACTGCATGATTGACAACCGCGCTGTCAGTCGAACAAACGAAGATGCGCGATTGCGCGATTGACGCTCTGTATGCGGCTTTAACGCCCTATAGGTGCGGACACTTTTTAGCGCGAACCCGACGTCCATTTGTTAGTAGGTCAATGATAGTTCGTATACATGTAGCTTTCACTGCACAAACGATGTAATGCCATAATCCATACTAACCAACAGAACCAAGCCATGTATTTAGTATAGATATTCTTTTCATAGGAGTGTACACAGAAGTATATAGCACGAGGTTTCCAGCCCCCAGCGCAGCAGTCAGCGGATTCACGCCGACATAAAGGATTCCGACACCTGCACAGCTCATTACTGCTGCAAAGTTGATTGCGTGAATTGGTCTGTAAAGCAAAAGATTTGTTACTTGAGAGGAATGTTATGGAGTTCAGGGCTCATTGACAACCAGCATCACAGTCAATTATGGCTATGGCATAAGCTGAATGATGTGTTGTTGCGTACGCCACAACTGCACATATGATAGTATAACTTGTAGTCGTTATATTTTGTTTTTTTTTTCTTGTTGTCTATTTTATGTTTTTTGTATTTTTTATTTTGTATATTAATTCTTTTTATTTTATTTTGTTTGTCTTGTTTGTTTTGTTTTCAATATTTTTTGTATCTTTTTTTGTGGCGTTGCAATAAATGTCTGTTCTAGTCTATTCATATATATTTTACCACGAAATAAATACATATTTTATGGTGAAATAGGGTTGTTCCATTTTATTACGGAAAATATGTACTAGTAATAATAACGAAACTTATCTAAATCAATAGAGGAATTTGATATTAAAGGTTAATGAATCTTAATGAGGGAGCAGAGGAAAAATTCCTAATCTTCGATTTGATTTTAGAGGGGTATATCCACTCTAAAGTTAAAAATAAAATATTGTTTGAGTAACTACACGATATATTCAAGCATAGACATTAATCAGAAAAATAAAACAATAAAGTTTCCTCGATTTTTTCGATTTATCCTCAAAATGCTACGGTTATTAGGACAAAATTAGATAATTAATTATATTTATGCATGATCGACAACTGTCACTACAGATTTTTTTAAATCCCTTTAGTTTTAGAGTTATTCCGCTAAAACGGATTTGTACTTTAAACGCGCAAAATTCAACATCTCCTGTCGCATGTCACGCGAACCTCAGGCATATATTTGTTTCACAAATTTGGGCGGAGCCAACGTCAAAACTTTTTTGGCATGAAAGCTCTTAAGTTTAATGAATTATGCACATTTTCAAATATGTATTTGTTAATAAGTAATGCACTAGCAAGTAATAGCACTAATAAGTTTCACAATGGTCACTAATACTTTTAAAAATTAGTATGTAAGTCTCATTGATACTGAGAAAACTTGATTCTTCTTTGTGAATACTACCACAGATATAACATACTATTTTCTATATACCGTATTCTATTCTAAAGTCAAGCTTCGAAGCTATTCGAGTTTTGCTGAAATTGAAATTTATTTATGTCTATTACTCTAACTAATAAATATTCACTGTTTCTGGTTTGACAGTATTGGTTTCTGCATAATTGAGCAGCAACTATGTAGAAAAAAAGTGCCTATACCCCTGAAACTATGCTCTTGTGGCTGTGGCAGCAACAAAGTGGTATTTCCATAGCTACATAGTGGTATTTGTGTATAATCTCGCAAATTGTGTAGAATTTTGTCTGAAATATATGGAGGCAGTTGATTGTACAGAAATATACAATCAACTGCCTCCATGGCCGAACGGTTATCATGCCGGACTGCCACACAGAGGTCCCAGGTTCGATTCCCTGGCCGGGTGAAATATTTGTATGGCATACATTTATTTCTCTCGTGAGTTTGGGTGTCATTTGTGGTTGTCTATGTCCATGGCACCCGCGACACAGGGTTTCCGTAGTGCGTGGCTATGTTGAGTGTGTGCGTTATTATTATTAATTTGAAATATAATGTTCCCTTTTTGTCTTTAAATAAACAAACCCTATATTTATAAATTATAAATTAACAGCACATTTGAATAAACAAAACGGTTGTGGCGTACACAAAAGGAATTCATTCAGCTTATAATTTTGAATTTTGCAAGGTAATAAAGTTTTTTCACGTTTTAAAGTTAAAACCACTTAGACAATGATATTGATAACTCAGAAACAAAAATCATGTTACATAGTGTTATTATTTGACGATTTCTTGCGCGCAGTTCCCTACTATAATTACAAGTGAAAGTTGATGTTGTGAGTAGAGAGTACACATAAGTTTAATGTTCGGTTAAAATTCCACAGCGTCATTCTACATTTCAAAATATACACATGTTGATATCTGAGAGCCTCTACCATGAGGTTGCAGCATAGATATAGAAAAAAAGGGGAGATATGGTATGGGGGCGTGGTTCGTGACACGCCTACAAACATCGCCACAGTGACATGGCGGGCGATCGTTGTACATACAAGATCTCTCGTAAAACGTGAAAATGCCAAGTTATAGCGATACACCTTGTAAATATTGGAGTGAAAACAGAAATTTTAAAAACAAGTGAGAAAATATTTGCATTTTTAGTTACTATTTCTATTATTATTCAATGTTTTTTTTGTCTCCATAGAAATTTCTAGACTCAAATATAGTGATGTTCATTTACGAAGACTGATGTTTATCGACAATAAATTTTTACTGAAATGTTTGAATTTCTTAATATGATTTATGTAATTAAAGTCCCTAAAATATCGAAGCGAAAAGCATTCACGTTAAATTGATTTCTTTTATTTTATTATTATTATTATTATTACTAAACATTTTATTTCGAGTAACTTTAACACAACTCATATTTCGGACAACCGTTTCAATTTCATGTCAATTTGTATGTTGCTGTTGTTTGAAGAAATATGTATGTGTATTACTGTTTTAGATATTTAAGATATTTAAATTCCATTATACTCGTAGATTACGCGTAGAGTATTTTTAATTTTTAAGTTTTCCAATTACTTTAAAATAAAAGAAGGTTGGATTGAAGCTGCAGGAAAATCGAAAGATTGGTTTTCTTATTACTATTTCTGACTTTGTTTCAATTTCCATAACAAATGCATTTAAAAAAGAAATAAAATAAAATCGGCTTTATTTTACATGTGCATGCAAAATAAATTAGAAACAATTATAGAAAATTACATAAATCCTTCATAAAAAAACAACATAATTTAATTTATTAAATTCGTTGATGGTTCGAGTTTACTCTTGACAGTGACAGCTTCCCCAACTCGTAGTAACGTATAATGGAAAATTGACACTGGCGACGATCGCCATATTTTTTATATTGTTCTTATAAAACTGACACTGGTCCAAGCCTAGTGGCCGCCATTAAGAAAATAATAATTTATATTAATATATTAATTTAATAATACACTAGTACCAGTGTAGATATAGTATGAAAAATGGAATATTTTTTTTAATATTAAAAACAGCCAACGTATTTTCCAACTATCGATTAGGTAGGACCACATCCCTCGTTGAGTAGCGTCAGTTTAAGGTTAATAAGGTTAACAATTCACGGAGCGGTTTCCATCCGCGCCCGACCACGCCTGACGGTGCTGCTAGACAGAGGTTTTATTTCAATACTCACGACCCTGCAAGTTTGTGCGGGCACGTACGAGTAGCCGCCGCGGTTGCGGGCACGAAACCGTTGCGGGGTGAATTTCACTTTCCGAATTTCAATGCCACTTTTTGAGTCATTTTTGTAAAACCCTTTTTTCTTTTGGTTTTAATGTCTTAAACGTACAAATAAGTTCAAGCAACGTCAATAATTATAAAATCACAGAAATATTTAAGTTAAATACAACAAAAAAAACGGTATTTTAGGTCACACGAATGAGATTGCAGTAACACGCATGCTTTTCTCATAAACATAAATGAGAAAGACGGCACAGTAATAAGAAATTATTATTACAACACACATTTTATCGTTCAAAAAAGAACATTTAACATCATTTAACATGTAACAAATATTTTAATATAACTTCTTGTATTAAAACCCTCCCCATTCGTGTAAGACCATATATGTATCTATATGTAATTAATAAATAAATCTAAATTGTTAATGTTATATAAACTTTGTTGTACATCAATATATCATCATCACCACCATTAACATCATCATCACAATCATCGTCATCATCACCACCATCATCATCGTCACCACCGTCATCACTACCACTATCACCATCTAATTGTTATATTTCAAGTAAATGTTTGGCTTAAAGTAACTATTTGACTTAAAAGTAGACAAGAATGAGAGCGACAATAATGATATTTGGATACATGTTTAATCGTCAAGTGTGTAAAATATGCTGGACCGTTATAAAGGTTTGGATGGATTTTAAAGTTCCTTTGTCTGATTGATGTACAATAAACTTTATAAAACTATTACTTAATACTTAGTTAGATAGATTGCGTTACATGAATGAGAACGATTTAGTCACTAGCGCTGAAATTGGTATTTAAGTCGATTTTTTGCTAAAACGGAAATCCAATCCGACAGGAGCCCCTTCTCACGTGTGCGAAGGATGAAGGTGATGTGGTATTAACTTTTGTTATTAGGAGGCTTTTAGTTGAAGTGACACTAATGATAAGAAAAATTGAAACACATTTTGTATTCCCATGAAAACATGTTTGTTTATAATAAATTGGAATGTTACGGTACGTATTCGAAGTGAAAGTTATTAGAGTTTATCCTCGATGGGAAATGTTGCGATTTCTACGAATGTCTAATTTTTTTTTTGAAATTAGGGCGACGTGGAACCAGCTCCCATGTATGAGAAATTGCCCACTTTTTTAATATTTATTTTATACTGTGACGTAGTAAAATAGTCTTTTTATCTGTAACACAGATTAAGTAAGCAAGCAATCATATTAAATAAATAATGCTTAGCATTCATGTAATAACATAAAAGTTATTGAAAAGGACACATTTTTGGAGGTTATCTGAAAATGACCCTGCAATTGCGGAGTTAACTGCAAGTCGCGCCTGCACCACCGCCAAAGTGCGCGGGCGACGACGGCCGCCAAGCGCGCAGGTGATCACGTCCTGCGCGGTTCTACTAGTACCCCGCCGCGGCAACCGCGAGCAACCGTCACCACTACAGGCGTAAAACGCGCCGTGAAATGTGCTACTAATTTTACATACGTAACTGTTACATTCTACAGACGCCGCAGTCTCGCGGCAAACGCGGGTGAAAACCGCTCCGTGAGTTCTTCGTGTAACGAAAAATGAGTTTCAGCGCCATCTAACGTGTAATAGTTAGCTATTATATACTAATAGCATTTTTACTAAAACGCCACCTGATGGTGAATGGCTGAACCAGG